TTGCTTTTTCTAGTTGAATGCATGTTTTATATATTCTTATAACAGAACGTGGGGGAAAAAAGTAAATTTGATATTTTCAAAGACAACAAGTCATGAATGACATAGCCTTCGCTAGTTGTCATTCTAAAGTTGCATGGACATAAATTGGCAAACGTGATTTCTATGGCATTTTCAAGTTTATAGCACTCTCCATCCAGGTCAGCATTATTCTCAGCAAGAAAACCAGATAGCACCAAACCAGTACAACAGGTAAAATGACAAGGAAGTATACAAATCAGATCTGCAAATATGTAGAGTCAGTGTTGTGTCTGTTTGGATAAACTAGTTTGTGGCCCTGGATTAGTTTCAATATCTCTAATAAGGACAAGAGTACTTCTCATTCGACAATGATGCAAATAATATGTATGGCATTGAGAATTACATATGCACCAACTTGGAAAAACATTGGACAGAGCATATCAAAGTTAAGAGAGGTAAAAGACAGACAAACGGACGGATGGACGGACGGAAGCCAATCGATAAGCTTTCGGCAGACTTCGTCTGCGGATGCCATAATACCACTACTACATCATTAAATGTTAATTGAACATTGAGTTACAATTTGGGCATGGTTTCACAAAAGTGGGTATGGTTAGTAAAATTGAAGTTTTTAACTCAAACAATTCAGGATTTAAGTAAATCCATAACATGTACTGCAGTTCACTTGTCTTTGTGTGACTATAGAGGTCGTGCTAATATACACTTATATCTATTTACATGATGGTCGTCACACTGCATCAATATTCAATGTGGGTCCCATGCAACATGTTTAATGAGTGTAAAACACATTGTTTCACATCAAAAAAAAGAACGATGAACACTACTGTAGATAGTGAATAACTTTAACTGGTCTACATTTAGCAACTGTGTGAGCTGTTGTCGTGGCAACCAATTCAAGGATCTCCTTCAAATCATGCACTCCTACATAAGAAAGACAGCTTGCCATGGCAACAATTTGAAGTAAGACATCACCAGTTTGGGAATCTGTACATACAATGGATGAATGTGTATATTGGATTATTATTTAAACCTTTGAATTAAGTCATTTTTTTTACCATTTATATAATTTAAACCCACATCATTTTTCATAGTTTTTCCAAAATTGGTCCACAATGAGTCAAAAACATGATGAGAAATATGGATGCACTTCCTGGCGCATGAACAGAGCTGGAAGGCAATACTTGGTCTTGGAGGTTGGGATTTTTTTGAAATATAAGAATAAATTTAAATGACTATTTTCCGTTCACTGCAAGATTCTAGTTATGCGTTAAATCAAACATAAAAACAGGACAAATAAAAGTAATACAGTCATAGTGATGTCAAAAAGTTGCATGGATTTGACAAACGTGAAAGTTTTTTTGCAAGTATTTTCACACTCATCAATTTTGATGAAGTAAGAATATTTTAATGTGATCTCTCTCAAAAAATCACCATTTCAACATTAAACTATGAAAAAAAAAGTTTGTTTTTAAAATCAAATTTTGAGGCAGACATTCATTTGACACTTTTTATGCAATACACAAAAACTGAGAATTTCCGTCTGACTCAATCAGTTGACAATACTTACCAACAGTTTGTTGAATTTCAAAACCATTTGACAGTAGTCTTTTATCAGTGTAATATCTAGTTTGGTCAGGTGGTCTGACTTCACTCTGCATACTAAGCAATGTCTGCCACAGTACAGTACCACCTAACATGCTGCAAAAAAATAACAATAGAATATATGCATTGGCAGTTACCACTTAGCATTCTTGATATATATATATATATCAAAAACATTTTGTACACCATGCTAGAACACTTTTCTTCAGAAATTTTTTACTCTGCCCTATTGGATTTGACAAAGGTAAGAAGGCCTTCATAATTCCCCCTGCAGAGAAAAGGTATAATTTATTTTCATCAATTTTATATTTTTGTCCAGAAGACGGATTTGCAAATGATCTTACAAGCACATCAAGTCAACATTCTAGTTTGAAAGAATTCCGGGAATTAACCAATCATTTGTATACCTTTACATATGGTTAGTCAGAATGCACTAAAAGATTGGAGGTGGGGGTGGTTGGTGTCTATCATTTTCAGGGGACAACCTATGAAGATAACTAGAATGAATGCAGGGGGGATTGCACCTGATGTGACCAGCATATGATATGATTACTCTGTGTCAGGCTATTGCCAGTTTAGCTGCACTAATTCCTGTATGCTGTGACAGACCCTGGGCCTTGACCTTAGCTAAAGTTTCCAGCCCCTGCCACAACATGAGAAACTGAAGCACAATCTGGATATTCCGATTGCAATTCTAAAACACATCTTGTCAAAAGTCACAGAACTCATCTACATACAGTGATATGGCATTGACAAGTTGACTTTGAAAAGTGACAGTTGAGAAGGCAGTAAACAATCCCTGTAGCACAATTGGACCTACTCTTGGATAAGGAAAATTTGGTCAGGATATTCCATTCTGTGACAGGGTAAATATGAGAGGGGGCCGGGAGTTGAGAATAAGATCTGGAATATCCTGGCACGAAATAGTGTAATGACTGAGATAAAGTGACATAAGCCTGCCACTGTAACTAGACTTCACCTACTTTGCATTCAGTGTAATTGCAGCTTCTAACGGTTGCCTTGGTAACAAATGCTGTGATATCAGTCGATGGTAAAGAAGTGTTTCCTCAACTCTGAAAACAACAACAAAGAGAAAAGTTATTCTTTGTGAAAAATTAAAATAACATGTCATGACATGAACATGTCACAGATTGAGCGAATTTCATAAACTGCCAAAATTTAAAAATAACAATCAACCCATATCGATTTAATACTGGAACAACAATTTGTATCATTACCTGTAATGGTTAAACACAGATACTTGTTGATCTCGGATGAGAAACCATATACCATGTGATTTTAATCGACCAATTAAACAGGGCTTCCCAATATTCTTGATAGACCTAAAGGTGAGCAAAAAATGTGACAAAATGGGAATTGCAAACATAAACACAATAATTTCTTGCTAAAAATAGTTGAGCTAATTCACAGAATTTCATGTCAGTGCTGCATATATATAAATATTTTCCAAATAAACTTTTTTTGTTAGTGCCACTGCCATATTGTTTCTGAAATACTAAATCAGTAATATTGCCAACTAAGTTGCTGACTGGTATATTTGGAGAGTCTTGAAATTGCTACATGATTGGAACATGTTGGATATAAAATGTTTTATTTTTAAATTTTACCCCATATCTTGATAATTGTACTTGCTACACCAAAAGTGAACTTGGTTGACATTATATAGAGATTGATAAGATTTCCAAATCAGATACAAATCAAAAGATTAGATACAAATTATTTAAGTTAAGTTAAACCACATGAAGTAGAAAATGTTAAGTGAAATTTAATGAATATCTTGGCCAATCCCAAACTGGTTACTATAATATCAAAGTTTGAAAGAAATTGGAAAAAAGTGTTTGAGATAAAAGTTTTATGACTGAAATAACATTGAATACTAAAATTTATTGTATATTTGATCATCAAAGTATCTTATTTAGAAAGTTCACACACTGCTATTAGAGAAGTAAGACATACACTTTAAAGGGAAAATAATGAGGAAACAATTTGTAAATGTCACATACTGACATCACAAACTGACTATGATTATACACTCACTTGCCACTCAATTTGCAGGTTTTTTTCAGTGACTGCATATCAAATGGCACATCAACAACTTTTACTGTCACTTCTGGCTTTTGGTTTGACCCGTTTCTAGATTGGTTGACACTCGGTGAAAACAACGTGGTATCCAGAACTGGCTGGTTTGATGGCTGTGAACAAGAAAAAAAATGTATTTCATCACTCAAAATCTCCCAAATAAACAACCATGAAAGTGAGTTTTTGAAATCCCAATGCATCTTGGGAGCAGTAATAACATAAGCATAATTCCATCTTGTGCCTGAGCATTGAAAGTTGGAGACTTTAAAATGCATATAATGTAACAAGACAACTAATCAACCTGTGACTGCTCAGTAGACTTGACATGGTTTTTTGATTCTGATGAATAACACCCAGGTCAGATTAAATAATTTTGGAGCAATGTTTAGAACAACACAATGTACAGTGGTTTGATAGTTATTGGTCCATGACATGAATGCTCAGATTTTCACATTCACTAGGCTGTCATGCAAATGTGAATGAAAGTAGATTTATGCAAATATGAAATCCCTATTTTGAGTTAATAGCACATGCACATTAAGAATCTTAGAACTCAGAAAAGGTCTATAGTAGGTCTTAGGTCTATCTTATAAGTAGTCTTGACCCCAGGAATTTGTGTTTTATTACTCAAGTATGACAAATTTAATGATCCACTTGCCAAGGTAAAAATCAATTAGCAGTCTTACAGCCAGTACATTTTACAGTCACTGTTGAATTCTAGTTGTCAAAACCTAATCATAAAATCAAAATTAAGACAGTAGATTAACTGCTACAACTGATCTTAGCAAAGCAAAAAATTGAAAACAAACTATCCTTTTCAATGTAAACAAACAAAAATCCATTTACCAGGTCAACTCGCTTCCTTTTACCAACTGGTTTTACGCTGCATAAAGATCTCTTACGTTTGGATGACAGAATTTTCTGATGATACCTGACAAAAGAAATCCACACGATCACGCAAACAAGGCTACATTCATTAAATTGAACTTATTTCAAATTAATCTTATCTCATTAAATCTGCTGATATAAGAAACAAAAAACTCTCCTTATTAATTTAAATTGAAAAGACTGAGGGTGCCATTCATAGATAATATTATTAAATGAATATTTCAACTTTCAACTTTCAACTGACCTGTTCTCATCATTGGTTGCTATGGTTTCATATTTTTCTCGTTCTTCATCATCAAGAATTTCCCATTTATCAGCTATTACTTTATTAATGGCCAGTGAACTTAGTCCAGGGCTTTCTTCCACAACTAGTAAATATATAAATTTCACAACACCAGTATTAACATATCTTGACTTCAGCTAACAGAGCAAAATTAACATTACATAAAAAAAAAAACCTGGTTGCTACATTACTGTGCTTGCTGGAAAAAGAAGGGGGAGGCGGTAGATTTCAATAGCCAGTCGTTTGTTTGCAAAATTCATATGCATAATTCTGACCAATCCACTGAAACAATCTTACCTTGTGGTTTAACTTCATTTGCATAACACTGTAGTGCAGTAACAGGTCTTCTGATTGGAGTATTACATACCATGTCGTACAGAGTAGATTGTCCATCCTAAAAATATGCACAAGTTATTCACAGAAAACCTGTGATGTTGTGATTATGTGAGACGCATTATTTGTGACTTAATCTGAGCTGTGAGCTGATTATAATGAAAGACTTTATTTCAACCAGCATTGAAAGTACACAGCCTCCATTTTTATGTTGATTTGGCAACAAAAATATTTATCAGCAACCTGACTTGCATACTTATCAATTGTTTACTAACCATAATCATTTTAGTAAATAATATAACCCCCCCTCTCTTGCCCTCCAAAGTTGACCTTTTGACCTCAAAAAAACTGTTACCCCTTTCACCAATAATCCTGGATGACTTCCATGATTACTTGCCTTGAGTTCTAATGGTCTTTTATTTCTCACTGGACTTTGTGATGTTTTACTTGTACCATCCACAGAACATGCAGCACCTAGTATCTGAACAGGCTGGAATCAGAAACAGACATTTATGACCTATTAAATGTTTTACATGTATGTAAACGCTAATTACAAATAATTTTTATAATTTATAAATTAATTCCTTGCAACATTTTGTCATAGATTAGTTATACTGTGAAACATATTTAATTTTGCAAATTATTATTTCTAAATATGGAATGTCAGAGACTTCCATGAAACAATTGTCTTCATGAATGCCTTAAAGCGAGGGAGTCTTCACCTGCACATGCGTCAGATGGCCATAGCGTGTCATTGTTTACAAACAAGCGTCTACCCGTGAGCCTTTGCGTTTTAACGTGTGTTGTTACCGTCGCTTGGGACTCAATTCCCACGCGTGCACAGGTGACAACCCACCGGCTTTGAAAACAGAAATTGCAAACATTCATAGTAAAATTTAGTTACAGTATATTTATTATTATTATTATTACTTATATAGCGCACTACACTGCGCCTCAGAGTGCTTTACAAAGTTGAAATGGCAATGAAATGGGATTGAAAAGAATTTTGTAAGTTAAAATAACAATAAGATTAGATTAATAACAATGGTTAAAAAGAAATGTTTTCAAGTGACTCTTAAAAGTAGCTGTTGATGAGCACAAATATATTTATTAGTGTGAAACATCAGTTCAAAAGGGGCCACTTTTTATCTGCTTCAATTTTTTTACTGCATCATTTTTTGAACATCTCAAGATAGGTAACTTTACCTACTTGGATAGGGATACCTTAAATATCAACATCGGTAACTTTACTTACTTGGATAGGGATACCTTAAACATCAACATCGGTAACTTTACTTACTTGGATAGGGATACCTTAAACATCAACATCGGTAACTTTACTTACTTGGATAGGGATACCTTAAACATCAACATCGGTAACTTTACTTACTTGGATAGGGATACCTTAAACATCAACATCGGTAACTTTACTTACTTGGATAGGGATACCTTAAACATCAACATCGGTAACTTTACTTACTTGGATAGGGATACCTTAAACATCAACATCGGTAACTTTACTTACTTGGATAGGGATACCTTAAACATCAACATCGGTAACTTTACTTACTTGGATAGGGATACCTTTACCATCAACATCAGTAACTTTACTTACTTGGATAGGGATACCTTTACCATCAACATCAGTAACTTTACTTACTTGGATAGGGATACCTTTACCATCAACATCGGTAACTTTACTTACTTGGATAAGAATACCTTTACCATCAACATCGGTAATTTTACTTACAATGTACTTGGATAGGAATACCTTTACCATCAACATCGGTAACTTTACTTACTTGGATAGGGATACCTTTACCATCAACATCGGTAACTTTACTTACTTGGATAGGGATACCTTTACCATCAACAAGACCACGACCTGCACTCCAGTCAACACCAGTAATCTCTTCCAAATTAACCATGCCCTGATTTTTGTTCAATTTTCTTGGTTCAACAATTGGTTTATTTGTATTGGCACCACATACTTTTAATCCCTGATTGGTTGTTTCAGATGATGCCATATTTTGATTGGTCAATGCTTCACAGCCAGGTGCACTGTCCAATACACTGCCATGACCATGTACTTGTTTCACATCAAAACTTGATTTTGCAGTTAGAATATTTTCTGAAGTGGTAACGTTGATTTCTGCAGTACTGACATCTCCTGCTTTCATTTCACAGTTCAACATATTTATGACTGAATCATCCAGAAGAGAAAAATCAATGTTATCACCAAGTTCACCTTCATTCTCTACACTCTCCAACCTATCGTCCATGGCAACTTGACGTGGAGTCTCCTGTATTTCGTCTGATGTGTCAAAAGGTCTACTAAGTGTTGATTTGTCTGCATTCACACTATTTTCGACAACGGTACTTATTTTAACTGCTCCAGCAACTGACTGAAATTCTAACTTATCATTATCTCTGACGATTGTGGTTGCAATGTTTTGAGAATCATTTGGACTTGTATGCACATGGTCCTCATCGTCTATTCGACTACCACTCAGGTTTTCAGGTTTTGATTTTCCAGCATAGACTTTTCCCAACATTGATATAATTGCAGCATGGATGGCATCCTGAAAATAAAAGACGGTGAGTTCAACTGTTGTCAGAATTACAATAACCCTTTAAATGCCTTTTTCCAATAAATAAAATAAAATAAAATCTTCGCCAGTTTATTATTATTTGTCTTCACTACAATAAGTCCAGTCATGCATTGCTATTTAAATTTTTTTTCAAACCATGCTGAGCACAGCTAACCAAGGAAGTAAGTAACATTTGATGTATTACAGTAATAAAATAATTATCCTATAACTTCAAAAAACACCATATATAGATTATTTCCAGAATAAAGCTCAAAAGTGTGGTATGCATCTTAGACTAAATCTTAATAGGAAACACTTCACATTGAATATTCATTTTGTATGGTAGTCCATCTTCAATTGTCAAACAGAGAATGCCATATACTTGGTATATTTAAGTGATTTGAAAATGTTCTAAGATGCTGAAAACTCAATAACAAGCAAGCAAGGAAAATGTTTGCTATCGAAAAGTCGGGTCTTGTGAATATTGTAGCTGTTGTTTTTATTACACTACACAGATTGCATGTCAAAGAATTTAAACAAAACATTGCCGACAATAAACTATATTATACTTTTTCAAAATCAACTAGAAATATCAACTTTTTCAAACGGTTGTAATAAAATTCTATCTTATCTTATCATTATTTTATATGGCTGTTCTAGTCACCTTAATGTCTCCACTAAAAAAAAGGTTATCTAGGCTGGTTGGCAAAGTCCATTCAAACTAGAACATAGAGTACAATACATACTGTCATAATGTACAATAATTACAAGTGATTACACACATACCTTGTTGTGTAGTAACACAGTGGTCTTATTTGGATCCAAGTTGACATCGACAACACTGGATGGTACATTGATACTGAGGAATAAGATGGGATAACGACGATTTGAACTGTCACTTCCATTGCTGTCATTGTACATGTGCTTCACCAACTGAATACAAATAAAACATTATTAGAGACTGTCTCTGACACCCGGTGTGAGAGTGTCTTTGACACCCAGTAGGAATGTACTGGGTCACATTTAGATTTAGATACAACATATGGTGTTACTTCTGGGGGAAAAGTCACCAGGTAAAAACATGTCATCTACATCCACATAAGAAAATGTATTATTCAATTCAGGATACAGGGTATTATTTAAATAAAGATTTTCAAGTCAGTATATACATACTTTTTCAATTTCTTTCAGATGAACAGGTCGTTTATTGACAAAGATGAAACATCTGTCATTGGTAGGTCTGCTTGTTTGCTGCGTGTCTGATCCAGGCTTTGGAACATAACCACTGATGGTAATCTGAGAACAAAAATCAACAGTGGGATTGGTGCAGTAACATTAAGCAATCGCTAGTCATATAACAGGAGGGCGCAGAAAAAATTAACTGGTTGTCCAGTGGGACAACTAAATGTAGTTTTGGAAAATGGTTGTCTACCTGATAAAAAAGTTGTTCATTCAAAATGTCACAAAAAATATGGGCCAGAAAACATTGTCACGAATGATATGGCAAATACCATCTTCATGAACATATTGAAATCTCATAAAAGGCGATATTTGAGTGAGATAGCGCCCTCACAGTTCAACCTCAACCACACTGAAATTTCACAAGCAGCATGATTTTAAACTACTTGGAAGTGAATAATATTTAAACAGAAAACATATATTTTATTTGTATTTTGTGATTTATTTTCATGGTTGTCTCGATTGACAACTTGTTTTCACATGTGGTTGTCCCATGCTAAATGTGGTTGCCTATGGCAACCTGAACCATTAATTTTGAGCCCTGAATGAGGTCATATAATTCTAATTTATTTCATCAAAATTATGGGCAGGTTGCAGTGTCACACTGCACATCTTAAAATTCCTATTATGATAACAGAAATTATCAAAATCGCTGCTCATATTTTTGACATCACAGGGGGACGGTCGATTCTTCCCAAATCACATTCGTCCCAAGTCGTTTCGTCCCACAAGTTGATTCGTCCCAAGTCGATTCGTCCCACAAGTTAATTCGTCCCAAAGTCGATTCGTCCCACAAGTCGATTCGTCAGATTTAAGGTTAGCCCACTACTAACTCGCCAAATAAGATTTCTAGACATCTCGACCCAAGACACTTCGACCCAAATTGGACATCTCGACCCAGACACCCTGGGCATCGTTGCGCCATTTTGTTTTTGCCAACGTTATATCCAAATACACCTTACCTACAACGCTGAGTTATTAGTTAATAAATACAAATACACCGGACATTCAACGTACAAGTTATTAGTTAATAAATACAAATACACCGTTCACGCAACGTGGAGTTATTAGTTAATAAATACAAATACACCGTTCATGCAACGTGGAGTTATTAGTTAGCGTGACAGTAGCAGTTGGCATAGAAATTGACCCTGTTCAAGATCGTAATGCTGACTAAAAATTTAAAAAATGGACGAATGTGAATTGGGATGAATGTGAAATGGAACGAATGTGAATTGGGACGAAGCGACTCGTGGGACGAATGTGAATTGTGATGAATCGACTTGTGGGACGAATGTGTCGGGACGAAAGTGAATTGGGACGAATTGACTGTGAATCAAGCCACATACCATCAAATTTCAAAGGGTGATTGTCTTTGTACAGCACGTTTTCGATTGTAAACAAAGAATTATCCCACATGCATTGTATATATATGTCACATGGAACCCATTGCGAACATTGCGTTGCGACCACCGGCCATTATTACGATAAACATGTTACAGGTGCAAACATACCTGCAACCATGGTATAAAAGTTTGTAATGCATACCTGTGGCTCAGTATTCAAATAGACGACTGGTTCCATCAGAGACATCACAGCTGTCCCAAGTACATTCATTAACGCTGTCTTGCAATCATTGACTTTATTTTTCTGTACGAGTAGAGATTTATCGTGTCTCAACGTCATTCGAACTTCCGGCCTGATTACTCCAAATGCCATCACCAAATCCTCAACTTTCTTTAATTCTTCTTTCTTCTTCTTGTTACTATTATAGAATTGTTTTCTGACTGGTATGTTCTTGAACAGCTGAGTGGCACTCACTGTGCTACCTGATATTACACATGTATATTACAAATTAAATACTAACTCTAATCTGCTGAAGTATAGAACCACTCACAGAATCACAATAGATACATAATATTAATATGTAAATTTCCTGAGCATGTCATCATTATTTGCCAATGAAATGTCCACAAATTGAAACAAGAGGATACCCACCCCATGGAACAAATTAAGAAAAAACAAACACCCCTATTACATAGAATAGTATATTTTATTTAATATATAAGTTAATACATTATTTATGGTGAACTAAACATAACACAAGCACATCTATACTGTAAAATCTGTATTACCCGGTAGATTTCTATTAAAATGGCACAATGCAGCAGAGGGGATGCGATTTCCATTTAAGCAGCTGCGCATATGAGAAATGATGAATTTTTGGTTCTCAATTATTAAAAAAAAAGTTGGGTGAAACTTCTATTAAGAATGCGGCTTTGAACAAAGATTTAATAGTACTAGTTGAAAATCATGTTAAAATAGTATTATTGCCATATATCACACATTAGATCAACATAGCAAAACCACGACCCGATTCCTGAAAATGCCAAGAAGGAATCACTTGGCAATTGAAAATGCCAAAAAATAGTATCGCTTACCCATTATGAAACATAATTTATAGACCCATTGGGTGCCTTGCACACTCATTGGAGAGTTCCAATCATTGACACCCTTGGGATCAGTAAAAATGGAAGACGACAATTAAGCCAAGTGGTTATATTCTTTAATAGAGATGTGGCACAGTGCACTGTTGTTAAAATAAAGTTTTCTATGTACAGTGTAAACAAATTTGGAACCTTTTAGCAAAAATTGCACATGTGTATAGCAGTAAACCAAGAAACGTGGAACCAAAGGAGCTCATTCAAAACTCGCCCACAATTATTTTTGCTGAAGGGATGATTCAGTGAAACTAAAATCCAGAGAATATTCCTTTTTCCATATATGTTACATTCAACTCATCAACATAAAATAAGTGAAAATAAACTCCATACAAAACATCCAAAAAGTCTTTTTTCAGTCTTACTAATAGCCTAGTGCAAATACGATAATCACATTAGCTTAAAGACTAAGCAGCCAAAATATCTAGTTTGTATTACTTACCCTGATTGACTGGAGCAGGCTTGGTAGCTGTGATTTTTCCATGGTGATCCAGAGTATATACCATTCCAATATCATCATCAGCTGTTTTGGTTGTCATGGTAACACTGGAAACAGCACAAAGTGATGCAAGCGCCTCTCCTCTAAAACCATATGTGCACAATGTTTCTAAATCGTCATGATCACATATTTTCGATGTGTAGTGTCTCTGGGCCATATGTGTGGTCTCCGACCGTTTTATTCCCACACCATTATCTCGTATTTCTATTTTGTCAAACCCATAATTGTCCTGTAGACAGCAAAAACAATTTAACTTCACATAATACATTTTTCCACAATCAAAGATTTCCAAATTTGGTGTGTTACAATGTATGCTGGTCTATGCTGTTTCTGTTCTAAATGTTTCACACAGGGTTTTGACTTGCAGAATTATATAAAAAGGTGACCATAACTTTAAAAAAAATTTTAAAATATAAAATTGGTTGTGTTTAACACAGTATTCACAAAATCTGGGATCAAGGGGAATATTTTCATGTCTCTCCTTTTCAATACACTGATTTTGAGCACAACCCAGCCTCGATAACGCGGTTCTAAATTTGAAAACATAAATGCAAGTCAAATATTTTTCTTAATCACCAAAAATTACCAGGAAGATGCACTGTCTTCTCATTCTATTTAAAACATGTCTCTGTGAGTTTAAAGTGATTAGGTGTCAACCATTTAAAATCATGGGGATGGCTAGAAGAGTCTAATCAGTGCAATTTTTCTTGATGTCTTATCTAAACATTTTTAACTTCTTGAATGTGCCAACTTTGTTTCCATGGAACACTTGCATGTAATTTTTTCTCTCTCTTGAAGTATAGCTTTTTTTCGAATCTTCTAGTCACCCTCATGATTTCAAATGGTCAGGTAGAACTTCCAAAACAACAAGATCTTCCACTGCCAAACACTTTCTTGTTGTTTTGCCTCCTGCTGGACCTATGAGTAGCTGTCAGTCTTTTAAAACGCAGCCTTTATTCGTTTTTTTTTCTCGGACATGCAAACTTCGAACAGTATATGCCCCTTTCTCTACGAACTACAGAACGCACATGAGGATCCTCGCACCAGCCAAGTGCCCGCCCCTCCCCAATATAATTGTTGTGTTGAGCCGGATGGGGATGGTAAAAAATAAACACACGTGATAAGTATCATCTATCTTAGGTTGTATGGAATATTTACCAGTTTTATATCAATATTGGTCGCCTTCGCGTCCAGTGCGTTTTCGATAAGTTCTTTGATGACACTGACAACGGAAGTAATGACTTGAGAACTTGTGATAAGTCGGACTGTCGATGCTGGCAAAAGGAGCATCTCCGACCGATTATTGCCATTTTCTGCCATGTGTGAAGTCTCCATGATGGTGCCTAACCGTGTATATAAAAAGTGTCTCAATTAAACGTCATTTTACTATAAATCGTTGTTTTGGTTTAAATCGGCGCCAATTAAATACAGCTGGGCAATTCGCAATGCATTTTGGTCCTCCGTTGACGTAAGAGTGAACACTGCGTCTGCGCAAAGTAAAGGGTATTTACTTGCGTTTTGCATTGGTTGTATCACGGAAGTGGTTCCTAAACAACAATTCTCTCCACTAAGTTGACACGCCAAACGATTTTGGAACGGGTAAGTCACACTACTGAACTGAAGAATCAGTATAAAGTATCGCAGTATTTTATCAACGCTGCATTCGAGCTGAAAAACAGACCGACGGCGCAACTTCGACTCCTTTCTGGCTCATGTCGCGTGTCCCTTGACCAGCTGCCAATTGTTCAACGATAACAATTGTACGCGATTTGTGCCTATAAACTCGTTATTAGACAACTGTTGTAGACCCATCCCAACACTGAATGTGAATCTTCAGCTGTGAATCACTTTTTCACTGTCGTTTTTATTCAATTGGGCATCGCAATGGAATACAAATATAGTCTTGCGTCAATGCGTATGTTTTGTAACGCCATCATAAACCAGAATTGTTCGCCAGGGATGCAGAATTTGTTGACATTTAATTAATCAATTCAAATTTTCCATCTACTAGTATCTCCGCAATCAGCTTTACTATAAAGTAACTGATTAAATGATTGCTTCAAAATATTTTATAGCTAGTATCAGAAATACATGTACCTCTGCTAGTATATATGAGTGAATCAATTTCGGCAAATGTTATCGATGGCAGTGTTATTTATATGTAAAATGTTGTATATTAAAGGTATACGGATGTGAAATCCTTGTGCATTGGTCAAATTTATTTTGATCAAAAGCGTTACAAACTACTTGAACTCTCATCGGTTACTGTGATGAAAAGGTTAGACTTGAAAGTATCAAGGTTAATGCACATAGGTTTCTATTCAAGAAGACAAAAACTGTATTGTCATGATAATCTTGTTTATAGTCTTGTGTTCCAGTCTCTTGCTGCTGTGCTATAGTGTCTCTGCCCCAGGTATTCAATGCAATAAGCCACTTGCAGTGAGAGACTGGGGCAACTTAGTCATAAGTTGCGTTCATGCACAGCTCCTTAGCACGGGCTAAGAGGTCAAATTTCTGTGCCCGTGCTAAGGAATGCTAAGTACGGGTAAAATCTGATATGATTTTAAGACGCGGTCCAGAACCTTAGCATGGGCTAACAAAGTGTGTGCGCGAACGCTTGGCCCATGGCTAAGCACCCTCTGTGGCAACCTTTGAGTGTTAATATTATGCATGTGATCAAATATATGCAACTTTCTCATTTCCAAATGGCAACCGAGCTCAGACTTAACAAAGACGGAACCTAGATGATGCATGATTTGAAGAAAAATAATGTTCAAATCTAAGAAACAAAAAGTTAATTAGTTAAACAAATCTAAAATTTTAGAAAAATGTTGTTTTGTTCTATGTTCATATAACGACTCCATGGACGACTTTCCGGAAGTAGCAAGACTGGGATGCAAAAATAATCCTGCTCTGTCAGGCTGAAAATAATAAACATGTCAGTTTGCTGATCGTCGATAGAAGGGAACTTTATTTTTGTGACGTTGATGGGTACACTCAGAACACAATATCACACGTCCAAATTCACCCCAAAACAACATGCACACATCTTCGACTTTCAGGAAAGTTGTCTATCCCGCCAGTCATTACTCCGCACACGCTTCCACACTGATCGGGTGGCTGTAGTAGAGCGTATAGCAGCTCTAATTGGTTCGCTGTCTACAACATGCATTAATAAAACTCTGCATTCTGTTACACCGTTGTATACTGTTTCTGTGCATGCCGCTTCAAAATTAGATTGAAATATGTCAGCAGCAGAAATTTTGCATTTGTAAACGGCGGCTTAACAAAGGTCACCGACTGATGGCGCCCCTTAGCCTGTGCAAAGAACTGGCCCTCCAAGCGGGTTGACGCAATTGGGTCTAGTAGGATTTTGTAGTGAGTTTGCCTGATTGTTAGTCACACTTTCTGCAAGTCTCGCCAGCGTGCTCAGCTACTCGCTTTGAAACATTCAATCGGTGCTTGTACAATTACCGGTAGTCTCTTTATGGACTTTCCTATGGGGAGGACAGCAATGTATTTGAGTTTATGTATTTTGTGTGTTTTGACAGTAAAACTAAAATTATTTATAGTGCATTTGTTGAAAGAGAATGGTAATGACATAAGCATATATGCAAGCAGTGTGCAGCTCTTGGGTGAATTTCAAACTAAAAATAGCACATATGTAAGATAAAACTTGATAAATTTCAATCTCTGAACTCTCTCAACTCGATGGGTGATTACCATGTACTATTGAGTGCCACAGTTTCTCTTTCATAAGATATTTGGGATATCGTTACAAATTTTGACGCCAACATCAGTTCTAGTTACCCTCAGAGCTTTTCAATATGCTAAAATTGTACATCCACCTCTGTTGGGGTGAACATTTGTATAACACAAGTAAACATGCATCAAATGATGATAGATTTGTACATGTATCATCAGTGGTATTACAAGCCTTCACTAACATGCAAATTTGATAAATAGTTTAGAATAGGAACATCTGGGATATTTTGAGTCACTGAAGATGTATTGATCGTTGCCACTTGTACAGGCTGCTTGTTCAAGATGGTGGTGCTCACAACAGTTCAGGTAGATTTTGCAGTCCAAAATTCATTTTATTCTTTGAGAAACGTATACAAATAACTGTATTACAGCCCAAATATGGAGATCATTTGCCCAACATTGGGTCAGTAATAGATAAAGTAATGTATTCAGTCAGTGATGCTTAAAACATCACAGCTGTGAATAATATGCACCGTGGTCTTAATGTGATAATCAACTGTAAACAGTTTTCACTGGAAGAAATGTTTTCAATTTCAGAATTGTATGGTGTTGGTGGAAATGCAAGTCACTGAGACTCCATGTTGTAGCACCTAAGGGAAATTTTTACTGTACAAATGTTTGCGATTTTCACTGACTCGTGAAGTTCACGATTATGTGAGGTTCATAGTATATATGCAAGGACACTAAAAAAACATCCTACATTTTTATTTGACCTACTGTCATCATTTTTGAGAAATCCATGCCTTGAAGAAGGTAATCACATGAAATGGAATAAATCGTGATGTACCACTCAGTTTATATGCAAATCACACCAACATTCTCACTCTCATGGCATCAGCAGGATGATGCACACAGGTTCAGATACGTCAACAAATCTAATCATGACGTCTGAAAACACCACACTGATAGCATTGGAGCCCAAACTAATTTTATTTCATATACATATAATGTTATGGGCAATTATTGCATTGAATTGTATGCCTTGGATTTAATACAAAAAGAAGAGTGCCATCACTATCTCTATGAGCTTTCGTCCTCGTACAAATTCTGCTCTGCAAAGAACAATGGTGATTGTATTTTGTTAACCAGTCACAATGGCATTATTTTAATTTATTTTAATGTCATAATTCTACCATCATCATTATTGGACCATTGATTGTGGGCAGACCACAGATATTAGCTTTAGACAGGTGGTGACAGTGGGATTATATACAATGTAGTAAGTCAAAAAGGTCAGTTTAGTCAAAGCATATATACAAAGCAGAATTTTTTACGTTGAATACAGGTAAACCTGGTGACAAAAAAAAATTCGATGTGATTAGTCTGTTATGGTTAGGTAGCAAACCAGGTACATTTTAGTATGTAATTTGACATTTGAGAAGGAAACATGTGGGAACAGTTGGTAAATTCAACTTGTAAAGATCGTGGCTCGAATCTTAGAGGAATAAAATAAATTAGCTGTGTTTTATTTTCTGTTCTCATTTAAAAAACACACAATATTTGCTGAATGGTGCAACTAATCTAAGCATCTTTATGAAAATATAGATGAATTATACATGTTAAAAATTTTATCTCGTCGTCAAATGTGAAAAAATTTATAAAAATGTAATAACTCAAGGTAATAACTAATTACATAATAATAATGGTCTGTCATTCTTGTTATAATAAATATGACTCGTTTTAAAAATAGGCTGACCAGATGTTGTTCATGGGTGTGTGCCTGCATGCTTTCTACAGTATCACATAGTTCAGAAAATGAGTTTTCCTGTAGGGCAGGCACTCTATACAATCGTTTTAAAAACGATTTCAACATGCTCTCAACTCAGATTAATACAAACTTTGTGTTCTTTGAAAACTGTAGAAATAATTACCAACAGAAGAACTCGCAGCAATAAAATGTTATTTATATTTTCTTTTAAATCTTTGATATCCTGGGGTTGGGTTGGGGATTGGGGGGGGCTTCTATTCTTTGTTTGTACAAGTTTGTTCTTGTTTCAAGTTAAACTGTGGTTGCCTAGTATTGTTCATTCAGAATGGCTTAATATTTAAAATAATCCTTGCTGTGAATGGTACTGCTGCATGTCATTATACGAGGCATTCTTTTGATGCGCATATATTGGCCTAAAATGAGTTAATTATTATACTGTATTTACTAGGTCATTTAATTTTTTTCTAAGGCTTGTCTGTATGACAGCTACCTTTGTTAAAGTCTTGTTACTATATATATACTTATTGATATAAACTGTACTCGTGCAACATTGTATGTGTCATCAATTTAGCATAAAATTTGTATATAACGCAAGGTGTTTTCCAGTTTTTATGTTTATCATGCTTAGTACAATAGTACATTCAATAGTGAAATGAAGTTTTAGTCATTGACGCCCACAGATATTTCAACCCATTTGTTTTGTTTGCAGCTTTGTGTGGGCAAATATAGCCGTGGTCATTTTTGTAACTATGTTACAACTCACAACTCGCTAAATCCTACCACCAGTGTTAATTAAACAACTTGCTGTACAGGGTTGAAAATTGGCAGTAGTCCTGTCTGTGAATTACCCCAGAGCAACTATGTACCGAATTTCAGTGAAATGTGAGGTGTATACATATTGTGCAAATGAGGTAGTTAATATGAATTTCAGCTTCAAAATAATCAGTTTTGTGCATTGTCCCAGGTCACCTACATAACCTACTTCCATTACAATGTAATGATTACTTCCTAAAAAAATTTCAAAAATGCAAATTAGGTAATAATTATGGATATATTTAAACCCAAAACTAACTAGGTCATTGCATTGTCTTAGAGCATTTATGCATAAAATGTGATGATTAGTACCGATTAGAAAAATTTTCTGCTCACGCAAATTAGGTAATTATTAAATATGCATGCATTTTTACCCAAAACTAATCAGGTCTGTGCATTATCTAGGAGTTATCTATATGCCAACGCAGTAGCGGGACTGTGATACCAAGTTTCATCTGACCAACAGTTCTTGAGATCTAGTGGAACAGAGATACATATAGGTTTACTTAAAAAGACTACCATTCTGTGATTTGCACAAGGGAGTCGATATTCTACCCATGCTATGTGTGGTGTACACAAGAAGTGAACACTCGTCCTTGATGCTAACATACTTTGTGATATTTCTCTTGCAGAAGATCTGCCACTATGAATGTTGGTGTGGCACACAGCGAGTTGAATCCCAACACGACATGGTTGAATAGTAAGGGTATGTGGATAACCTATACCCTGGCCACTGCAGCGCTGCATTACATCATTCTCAGTGTACCCTGGTTTAGTGTTGCTGTAGCATGGACGCTGACAAATGTTGCACATAATGTGGTAAGTATATCATTTTAATTTGGTTTCATCTCGGATTGTTATAGCATTTACTTTTGAGTCATTTGAAGCATGCACTCATGGTAACAGGCTTGAATTATTAAGAAGACAATGAAAGTTATTGTTATACTAAATAAGTCAATTATTCAATTAATGAAATTTATTTTTTACAATCATGTAAATTAACTGTTAAGTACTTTTTTCAGCTGGATTTAATTTTCACTGGAAAGACACTTTGGCAGTTTTGTGTGAAGTTTTTTTTCCACTGATTTTCCGTGATTTGAATGTAAAATATAGGAAAAAAATTTCACTGAATTTTATTTTCACTTGTTTAGCGAAATTCCAAGTGTAAATAAATTACTTCATAGTATTGGTATTCAAATTAGCCACCATTATAGGCATTTCGTACATGGCAAGTGATCACTTCACATCATGGGAGTAGTAAATCTGTATAACAAGCATTTACATTACATTACATAGGGGTAGTGACTACTCTATTGACTTGAATTAAACCTAATGAGCATCCTTGAATATGGAGGTCACTATATGTAACCTGCTAAACATTGAAACCCAGTCATTTATTATTAATCAAATCTTGAAACAAGCAGACCATGTAATTTGATGCTTGTAAGTCTTATAGATACATGTATAATAGTTCTAATTTTTAAGAAAATATTTAATTTTAATTGACTTATGGTGTCACTGTATACAGTAAATCATTTACCTTTAAAAAGATATAATTGTCTGGGGAGAACAGTGCTTTTTGCTTTGCTGTTTCAATTTCAATCTCTAAGTTGCTGAAAACTTGATCAAAACACTACTTTGTGATGTTCAGCTATTGGTATGTAACTTCCTACTTGGATAGTCTATGAATACCACAATTTTTGCATTTATTTTTTCACATACCAAACATTTTGCCGACAATACATCTTAAAGAATGTTGTTCCAAAACTTACATGCATTTGTTTCAAGTCCTGATTTCAGTTTTTTTTTAGTGTTGAACTATATGGGAATATGTTTTGTCAATGATTTGTTTGAATCTTTTGATCTTTACAGATAATGTATATGGCCTTTCATTATGTGAAAGGAGCACCCTGGGAAACAGGAAACCAAGGGAAGGATCGATATTTAACACACTGGGAACAAATGGATCATGGAGAGCAGTACACAGCAACTAAAAAATTTCTTACCTTTGTACCAATCGTATTGTAAGTTAATTATTATTAATTAATGCACTTTATTAGTTCTGCTGTCGACTTTGTCTTCAATCTCTAATTTTGGTGAATATTTTTGTCATTTTTGATAAAAAGTGATACTTTCGAATTCTTGTTGAAAACAGCAAGTCTGATTGCTTTGATACTATACATATTGTTCATTTTCTAATGATATCTTCAGTTCTTTAATTCAAACGTACATTGCTAACAGCGGAGCTATCTCAGCCGAGAAGCTCCTTGTATAGAGAGATGAAACGTGAATGCAAAATAATGATTCTAAAAATGAATGATTGATATTGGTTGAATAGATGGATAAATATTTCATTAAGATCTTAGCATCATCATGAAATATAAAATAATTTGTCTGGTTTTATTTCTGCCGAATGCAACCAACATCTGTGGTATCATAGTTTTCATTTAGTTTTTTGATCATTATTCTTTACACAAAACCCTTTTCCTTCCATTGGTCTCAGTTTTTCATGTACAAGTATGGCAAAGAGATGAATAAATTTGTTTCACCAAAAGATGTTTATCTGCACCTCTAAAAACCTCTGCACCCATAATATGATCACATCGATGGCTGCTTTAACTGTGTCTTATTGTATCATGTTGTTAAATTTTTGTTTTAGGTGCAGCAATATGGTCTTAGGTTTTAGCCGAGTCTACAATTTGCTTTGCAATTAACCTTTCCACAATCAAGTGTTTTCTCATTTAGAATACAGTTGCTAATGTACTCTGGTGTACAATCTGGTGTCTGTTCTAAAAACATTTCACACAGCATTTGTCAAACAATATAAAAAAGAAGAC